CGACGGTTGCAACCTCCTCCATGTCTTGACCAACAACGCGAACAAGCTGCAAGAGCAAACAGAGCCCGAGGAGCGCACGATTCATCTCCTCTCACCCCCTGATAGACTTCTCATCCTCTTGCCTCTTGCTCTGCCCTGCCCTGCCCTGCCCTGCCCTGCCCTGCCCTGCCCTGCCCTGCCCTGCCCTGCTCTGCCCTGCCCTGCTCTGCTCTGCCCTGCCCTGCTCTGCCCTGCTCTGCTCTGCCCTGCTCTGCCCTGCTCTGCTCTGCTCTTGCTTATCTGGTCACATTCCTTGCTTTCCCCCTGACACTTTTCCATCAAGAGACGCATCGTATTTAGTCGGGGAGAGGAGCGAGAGGAGCCAGGGGGGTCGAGGGAGCCAGGGGGGTCGAGGGAGCGAGGGAGCGAGGGAGCGAGGGAGCGAGGGAGCGAGGGAGCGAGGGAGCGAGGGAGCGAGGGGATGGTGGCAGGCAGGCAGGCAGGCAGGCAGGCAGGAACTCTGAGAGGGGTGCGATAGTAGGCAGATGAGAGATCAGGATTGATTCCTCTTCTTAAAATCTTCAGCCTCGTCCCCCTCCTTCCTCCTTCCTCCTTCCTCTCTCCTCTTTCTCCTCCTCCCTCCTCCTCCTCCTCCTCCTCCTCCTCTCCCTCCCCCTCCCCCTCCCCCTCCTCCTCCCTCCTCCTCCTCTCCCTCCCTCTCCCCCCCTCCCCTTCCCCTCATCCTCATCATCCTCCATGACCTCATATCAACAACAGGAGCGCCATGCATGCCCTGCATGTGCTGGCGTACTCGATGATGCTGATCATCAGCATAATCATCGGCTCTAACATGTACAAGGTCAGCGACTCCTGCCATGTTCGTCGTTCTCATGCTGGCATTGTGCGCAGAAGGATGGAGAGATCCAAAGATACCGGCAAAAGATCAGCGAGCTCGAACGAGAGCTCAAGCTGCACAAAGGAAAGGATGCTCTCCTCCTCCTCATCCTCATCCTCATCCTCATCATCCTTCTCCTCCTCCTCCTCCCACTGTCTCTCCCCCTCCCTTTCCCTCCTCGTCCTCGTCCACCAGCACCACCGCCAACCTGCTACTTCACTTCCTCCCAGCTCGTCTCCTCCTCCGCTGACTCAGTGTCTTCAGACTCCTGCCTGTGTGACTGCGCGACTGCCGAGGAGTGGCTGCGGTCGCTGCCATGGCCTCCTGACGCTTCGAGCTGATGACGCGCGCAGAGCTCAGTGCGAGTGGGAAGGAACAGACTTGCAACAGTGCAAAAGAGGTGCAGGAGCAGGAGCAGGAGCAGGAGCAGGAGCAGGAGCAGGAGCAGGAGCAGGAGCAGCTGAAGGTGAAGAGGGGAGAGGCAGCGGCAGCAGCACTGGCTGAAGACGTTGTTCAAGGCTCTACAGCACCCGAGGAGGATGTCCCTGCTGCTGTCCCTGCAGGAGGAGAGGGAGAGGAAGTGAAGGAGCAGAAAATGTGAGCTCTCCCTCGCTCTGCCCGCTGCTCACGCGATCCCTTCCAGCAACCCTTGGGCTCCCCTCCCCTTAGACCAGCTCTCCGGTGACTTCCTCCAAGCCTCCCCCCGCCTCCTCTCCTCCTCCTCCTCCTCCGCCTGCGCCTCCTCCTCCTCCTCCGCCGCCGCCGCCTCCTCCTCCTCCTCCTCCTCCTCCTCCTCTCCTCTCACTCTCACCAGGGAACCCTGAGCGAGACCAGCGGCGTAAGTTGCACGAGGTGCACAAGAAGTCGAACCCGGCGTACAACATCCGGTAGGCAAAGGCAGTAGATCCATCTTCCCTGCTGAGAGCTCACAGATGCGATGTGACGGACCCGCTCCCTCCTGTCCCGCTCGTTGACCCCGCAGCAACCGATGCTGTCAGGTCTCTGCATGTGCGAACCCAGGCTGAGACTTCACAGGGAGGCGTGCTCATCTTCGCGCGATACTGGGTGGAGGTGCGGACCGTGTTGCGTTCTGACAGAGAGGAAGAGGAGAGAGCAGGAGCAGGAGCAGGAGCAGGAGCAGGAGCAGGAGTCAGTGGTAGCAAGGGAGAGAGGTGAAGGTTGGGAGTGAAGTAAGGGAAGAGAGGGGGACAGGAGGACGAGGACGAGGACGAGGAGGACGAGGAGGAGATTTCACTTTTGTGTTCACAGAAGGGAGATGAAGACGACTCTGTCATCTCCTTCTTGAGCTGGAAATTTCCTCTTGGAATCCCAGCAGAGTCGATCCTCCGGGTAAAGGACGATGAGGAGAACGTGCTCCTCGCGGCGCCGAACCCTCCCCTCCAAGGCAGGGGAGGAGGCGGGAGGAGCTGGGGGTGGTGACAGGGTCCGCAGGGCATGTCTCGTTCGGTCAGAGTCTCTCGGGAGTGATGCCGGTCGTGCTGGAGTTGGTCTCCAAGGACGAGGAGCAAGTGAGTGGACTGTTCCCCGGCTCCCCAGCTGCTCACGGCCCGCGCAGATCTACGGGAAGAAAATGATAGTCATGGACATCCCCAACGGGGAGAGGCTGCGCCGGGACGACTACCAGTGCTGGAGGAAGGCAAGCCAGCCCGAAACTCGATCTCTTCACTTCTACTGTCATGACATCATGTTCTGCTGCAACTCATATCGTGTTATGCTGCAACTCTTATCGTGTTATGCTGCAACTCATATCGTGTTATGTTACAACTCATATCGTGTTATGCTGCAACTCACCACGACATGTCTCCCTTTCACCGCCTCATCTCCCACCCTGCCATCGTCCTGCAAGCTGCTCGTTCTGACTTTGATGTGCCGGTCAGAGGCATACTGCCGTTACCCGAGAGAACCGCAATCATGTCGATTGTCCTTTCAGTCCCGCGCAATATGATTCGTACGGACAGCTCCCTCCTCTGCCTCCTACTTTTCTCACCTCCTCCTCCCTTGCCCTGGTCCTTTTCTTGCACTTCCTCTCAATCTCAACGATTGCATTTCCCTCATGTTTCCCCTCTTCTACTTGCTTTCTAGACTGGCTTTTTTTCCCTGCTTCCTTCCCTCCTCTCCTCTCCTCTCCTCTCCTCTCCTCTCCTCTCCTCTCCTCTCCTCTC